GTTTTTCCTTTGTTTCATCTTTTGAATGTCAATTGCTTTATATTTTGCAACCTGATATGAAGATGATCAATCATTTCTGGATATTTATCACAGAATCTGCATTTTGAGCTAACACATTATTTTAGTATATGTGTTGATAATTCCTAGTTAACAAGCATTGGTCCTGTTCAGCAAGGATAAAACCTTCAGTTTCAGCTTTTAACCCTGCACTACGGAGCCACTGATGGGTACGGGTTTTGTCTACGTCAGCTTGTTTGGTACGGGCAAGAGTATTGGCCATGAAGCGGTTTATCTTGCCATTGTTTCTGTATCTGGTCGGTTGTTTTTGTCTTTGCTTTCTTTTTTTTTAAGTATTTTGCAGTTTCAATGGTGTATTGTGCTTTTTCTTGTATTTCTACCATCCATTTGAAACTCCATTTTTGAATTTGTTGGCTTCCTTTATTACGGAAGTAAAGACGCTTACTACTTTCATGTTCTTTGACAGATACCATCATCCAGTCTTCTTCAGTTTCCAAATATCTTTGGAGGCCAATTGTTGTAGTTTTGTAGGACAGTTCTAGTTGAACTAATCCTCTGCCTCCTTCGGATCTGGGCACATACAGACGATCAACATCAGCTTTGGGATGATGCATGCGGTAGCAAGTGAGAAGCTTTCGCGTTTTGGCGTCCATTCGCTTAATTTCAGCTATGGGCGAGTTAAGGATCTTAAAGCTGTATTGCACCACAGGGACAGCCAATGTGTTTATGGCTGATATTCTGTTTTATGAATTCAACTCGGTATTCGTCACCAAACGCACACGCCTGTAGTATTCTTTTCTTACCTTATCCTTCATTTGGTCTATTCTGTATTCCACGTCTTTTGCTAATTCCTAGGTACTTATAAGCTTCATCATGTTCCAGTTCCCTAATCTTTGTGACAAAATCTAAATCTATTGAGGGTGTTTCTATAATTTCTCTTTTCTTGAATGTTACTTTTGGACATTTATCCAATCCCAAATCCATACCTATGTCGCCCCTTAAACATTTTACACTATTGAGGAGACCCTGCAAATCTTTGACACCTTTAGCAATGAGCTTGAGATCATTCATGTAGAATAGATGATTAAATACTTTCTTGTTTAGTTTGTATTCATAGCTATTATTGTTTAGTTCATGCGTAATGGGATTAAGGATAAACAAAAACAGAAAAAGCTTCAGAAATCTCCTTGAAAGATTCCACGTCAGATATTCAGACGGTTGGATATGGCAGTGCCTCTGGTGTGACTAAGGTATAATTTGGTGTTCCACATTCCCATGCTGTGCTTCGAATTTACTATACAGGGGAGACTTTGTACATTTCCAAAGTCTTAAGAATCCAAGAATTTGGAACACTATCAAAGGTTTTACGATAATCAATCCACGCTGCGCTAAGATTTCTACGTCGTTTCCTGCAATTTTCCAGGATCATTTTATTTATCAATAGTTGATCATTTCAGCCATAAAAACCTCTTCTGCATCCCTTCTGTTCCAGGGGAAGAATGCTGTTTGTTTCGAAAAAAGGAATAAGTATATTTCGTCAAAAGACATGATCAATTTATATTTGTGGAAGACATGTTATCGGTCTATAATTTTTTTCATCGTCTGTTTTTTTTTTTTTTTAAATGAGTATTTTAATACAAAATTAGTATCCATAATCCATCTTTCTTGGGATTATTTTCAAACGTTGATAATGTTTTTTTCAATAATTTCATGGATAGATGAGAGATGATAAAGGCCAAAAATTTTGCACTTTATTGTCATTTCCTTTTTATATTTCCATTTTTGGGATTTCGTTAGAACTTGCCTAACATCATCTGTGGATATATTTTCCCATTCTTGCAGAGGTGTATCCAAATTCGTTCTTCTTCACGCCGGATCTATTCTGCATTTGGATTATATTTCTTTGGGCTGCCCAAAATATTTTCCCAAAATGTCTGTACATTATCAATCGATGGTGGCCTTTTATATATAGGTGTTTTTCCAATTTCACTTAAAATTTATTAAGGAGAATTAAGGAATTGGAAAAAAATCAACCTTAAATTTTTCGTTGAAAAAAAAATTTTTCGGATATTCTATTGTGATTGGAGGTGACAATTTCCATTTTTTATTATTCATAATATTATTAATTTAATTTGAAACGTTTCCAATGTCTACAAAAAACAGTTTAGTTCATAACTTTGATTTAAGAATTAACCTCATGCTTAAATCAAAATCTCCAATTCCAATTTATCATTGAGACAAAGATAACCTGGTAAAATGTAAGTGAATTAATCCTTGATCTCTCCTAAAAATTTTCATTTAACTGTAGAATTATGTTTTTTTTTTTTTTTTCAAATTAGTATTGGACAACGAAGTACTATTTTCATAAATAGTATTGTTGAAGGATAGTAAAAAATGAAAAAAATGGGTTTTAAAAAAAATTTTTTTAACACTTCCAATATAAAACATTTTTTTTTTTTTTTAATTTTGGGTTTTTCAGAGTAAATCATAAAAAAGACAATATTTAAAAAAACGACCGAAATGCATTTTTCATAGTAAAAATCATTTTAACAATGCATTTATTTCATAATTAAAATCATTTCAATTATTTTCATAGTAAAAATTTGGTGAATAATAATAGTTTCATATAAAAATCATTGGCCAATGCATTTTCATAGCACAAAATCATTTCAATGCATTTTTCGTAAATAAAATCATTGAATAAAAATATTTTTTCATAGTAAAAAAAAAGATGGATTTCAATGCATTTTCATAGTAAAAATCATTTCCAATGCAATTTTTTAGTAAAAATTATTTCAATGCATTTTCATAGTAAAAATCATTTCCAATGCATTTTCATAGTTTTTGTCATTGAAATTTCCATTTTCATAGTAAAAATCATTGGCCAATGCATTTTCATATAAAATCATTTTTCAAATGCATTTTCATAGTAAAAAAAATTTTTTCAATGCATTTTCAGATAAAATTACATTTCAATGCATTTTCATAAAAAAATCATTCATCTGCCAATTTTGATTCTTATAGTAAAAAAACAAATTGGCCAATGCATTTTTATATGAAATTATTGGCCATTTTTTGATAGTTAAATTATTTCAATGCATTTTTTCTAGTAAAATCATTTTTCATTTGAATCATTGTAAAAATCATTTTTGAAAAATGCATTTTGATAGTAAAAATCATTTCTAATATATCATTTTCACAGTAAAAATCATTTTCAATGCATTTTCATAGGAAAAATCATTTTAAATGCATTTTCATAGTAAAAAAATTATTCGCCAATGCATTTTCATAGTAAAAAAATCATTTCAATATAAAATTAATAGTAAAAATCATTTTCAATGTTTTTTATAGTAAAAATCATTTTTCAATTTTTTTCATAGTAAAATCATTTTTTTCCAATGCATTTTCTTAAAAATTCTTATACATAAAAATCATTTCAATGCATTTTCATATTAAAAATTTTGTAATGCATTTTCATAGTAAAAATCATTTCAAATGCATTTTTTCATAGTCAAAATCAACTTCAAATGCATTTTCATAGTAAAAATCATTTCCAATGCATTTTCATAGTTGAAAAATCATTTCCAATTCATTTTTTAATAGTAAAATTCATTTCCAATGCATTTCATAAAAAAATCATTCGCCAATGCATTTAAACATTAAAAATCAATGGTTCATTTTTATAAAAATTATTTGCCAATTAAATTTTATAGTAAAATTATTTCCTGCATTTTCATAGTAAAAATAATTTCCAATGCATTTTCATAGTAAAAATCATTTCCGATGCATTTTCATTGTAAAAATCATTGGCTAATGCATTTTGATAGTAAAAATCATTTCCAATGCATTTTCATTGTAAAAATCATTTCCAGTGTATTTTCATAACAAATATCAATTTCAGCACCGAAAACAACTACAATTGCGTATATATACGTTCTCGGACACATGGATACATGTGTGCTGTATATACATTATTCATATATTAATATGTAAAAATACTTATAATAAAACGTTCACCTTAAATGTATGTATGTCTGCGTACGTATTCAGTTGACATCTCGAACGGACACAGATAGAAATTTTTTTACATGAATTACCATCAAATATTATAAATAAAAATAAATAAACTGACATTAAAATTTAAAAATAAAAATAAATTTTCAAAATAATTATGAATTTTTCTTTCGATTTAAATTGTAAAACCATTAGGTTGTGTACAACTCAAATCAATCCAACCAAATATGTCAGCTTTATCACTGATATTGAGCGGTTTAATCAATTACCGATATATATAATATATATAAAAATTGCATATATAAATATGTTCATAAAGTTCGTTCATTTATTTAAAATATTTCAAACTTTATTTGTATTTGCGATAGAAATAATCTGTTAAGAATGTCATAATACTGTGTTTCAACAAGATGGAGTTCCTTGTCAATTTGCTCAGCGTGTTAGAGACTTTCTAAATCAGGAATTTCCTAACAGATGGATCGGAAAGGATGGACCTTTTTATATATATGTTTATATTTATATGTCATATATTTATTATAATTATTATTATTATGGTGATGATGATGATAATACTGATGATGATGATGTTGAAATGATTAATAACATAGAATCCATTTCCGTGAATTTTATTGGATACTTGTTGTGGTTAAAGGTTTATCCATAAAATCTTCACCAAATTCCTCTTAGTGTAACCCCCTCCCAACCCCCCTTTTTAAGATCAACTTAATTTCGCAAATTCATTATTTATTTTTATTGTTTTTTTTTAATTTTTTTAAAATGCCTGGTTTATTATCAGATTGTCCGGCTGAGTTTATAACATTTAATGAAATGTAGTCGGTCTCATGAGGTAGGTATATACATGTATGTATATATTTTTTAAAATAAACTTATAACCAATTATATGATAGATATTTAAGACTCTCTTTTTTAACTATAATTACATATATTGCTATATATATATATATATATATATATATATATATAAATATATCATAGAAGAAGAGAGAGAGAGAGAGAGAAAAAGAAGAAAGATGCCGAATATTTTCCATAAAGTTCGTATGTTGCTTTAAAAAGTTTATAACTTTATTTGTATTTGCCATAGAAATTTTGTTAATGAATGTTATAATACAATGTTTCAACAAGATGGAGTTCCTTGTCACTTTGCTCTGATCTTGTTAGAGACTTTCAAATCAGGAATTTTATAATTGGATCGTAAAGTGAACCATTTTATTGGCCTTTTTCGCCATATTTGATATTAGATTTTTATGGGGAATATGAAAAATGTTATATCAAATCAAACCTAGTTCATTAGAAGATTTGAAAGCTAAAATAACTAATGTGATTTCAAACATTACTGTAAATCAGTTTTAAATGTTTTCCGTGAACTGCAAAATCGTATTACCCTTTGTATATTGTTAATGATGGAGGACATTTGGAAACTTAAATAAAATTTCAATAAAACCTTAAAAAATATAGATTTACTTCTTTCTAATCCTTGTTACAAATTATTTCTATCGCAAATACAAATAAACTATTCAATAAAATTCATCGAAATGGATTCTATGTTGTTATTATTTATTTCAACATCATCATCACCATTATTATCATCATCATCACCATAATAATAATTATTATTATTATAATAAACATATGACATATAAATATAAAACATATATATAAAATGGTATCGGTTTTTTTTTCTTTGGACTTTGGACTAGACGATTATTTTCGGCTGACGCACATGTTCTTTGTTCTTTCTTTTTTTGTACCTTTTGGTATTGGTTTGGTTATTTGCAAATCAAGACAGCGAAGGTTTTCCAGGTGAGTTTAATTTCTTATATTTATAAGATTATTACTAATATATATATATATATATATATATATATATATATATATATATATATATATAATATATCATTAGGCCAGTGCATTTTCATAGTAAAAATCATTTCCAATGCATTTTCATAATAAAAATCATTGGCCAATGCATTTTTATAGTAAAAATACATTGGCCAATGCATTTTTATAGTAACAATCATTGGACAATGCATTTTTATAGTAAAAATGCATTGGCCAATGCATTTTGATAGTAGCAATCATTGACCAAATCATTTTCATAGTAAAAATCATTGGCCAATGCATTTTCATAGTAAAAATCATTTCCAGTGAATTTTTATAGTAATAATAAACAGTATTAACATCATTTACCGGCTTGAATGTCCGAGAAATTGTCATAGAAAATATGCGTCCTCCGACAGGAATCGAACCTGTATCCTATACGAAACCATCATTTTACCGATTTCGCCACAGAGTAGCGTTTCGGTTAGGAAGGTCGATTTTACTGTTTTTAGATACGCATCGAGCAGATATGAATGTACGTGAGAAAATCATGGAAAATTGTAATTTCTTCTTTGTGTGCATATGTGTGTGCATGTGCGTGTACCCCTGTGCGCCCGTCTGCGTACGTGTACACATGCATACGTGTCTGTGTACACCCCTGTATATATATATATATATATATATATATATATATATATATATATATATATATATATATATATATATATATATATTTGTGTGTGTGTAATCTTTCTTTTCTATAGTAATATAGGGTATTAAAACATATTAAAAATAACGTAAAAGGAACATCTGAGCAACGAGGAAGGAGAGTTGGCGCAACAAAGTCTTCTACTTACGATTAGAACGACGCAGTTAAAATCTATGCGTTACATAATGAAGAAAGAGTGTTTGGGGAATTTAACACTCACAGGGCATATTCAGTTCAAGAGAAGCATGGGAGAACAGTAAGTCATAATCGATGTCAAAACAAAGATGAAGACAGACGAAAAGAGTGAAAAGTGTTTCAGTGTAACAAAATACAGGAAGTCGTGGAGAGCCATGGTCGTCTCAAAAGTTTTAGCACATACAAGATCAAGATCAATGAAGAAACAATATAAAAGGGTAGGTACTTTGTAAATACGGTCAATTCTATAGCTTTTTGATTACTGACCTTTTCAAAGATCTCGTGTATGGCCAAACAAATCGGTATTTTCTTGATTTGGTATTGTCTTTCTTTCGTTTTATTTTTACTTTCTTTGACTTTACTACCATTTTTTTAAAATTTTATTGTAGTTTTCTTGTTTTTATTATTAATTTTCTTATTTTGCTCCAAGAAACTTTAAATAAATTTTCTTTTGTTTTGTTTTTTTTGTTTTTGTCTTTTTCTGGACAAGACAACACACCGAATTCTTTTAAAAGTCAATTCGTGGGTCTTCTTTTATAAACGAATCCTGATCAGGTTACCGAGGTTGAAAATATAGTTCAGGCGGTGAGCCAATCACGTGATCAACATCTCACATCCGGGAACTTGTAATTATCTTTCACCAGCGACATTTTACAGCGTGCGAGGCGTACAATGCGAAAACGCGACGCTGCTATGTGTAAAGAATGATCGCTAATCGTAAACATACGTCCCACGAGTGCGATTTAGTAATATCTCCAAAGGTCAGTGAGGCCTCTCGGTTTGAATATGTAGATGTGTGCGGCCATTGTAGTGGGAGACGCTTGAATTCTATTGACTTTAAACTACCTCCACCTAAAAAAAATTAAAACAAAATTATAAAACGCAGTGGCGAGATGTCGCGACGTGAAAATGAAAATTCAACGAGATATGGTAAAAACAATGTGTGAGCATGAGGATTGCCTGAAGTTGCTATCTTTATAGGCTGCGTAAGTGTCATGTAGTCTGAATACTCATGGTAAAAACAATATGTGAGCATGAGAAAAGAATTATAAAACTTGTGCTTCTTGGGTTCCAGACAAACCTTCCAAGAAATTATTAAGAAGGATTTAATTGCCTGAAGTTGCTATCTTTGTATACTGCGTGTTATGTAGTCTGAATACTCGTGAGATGGCTAAGCCACGATATAATAGGCACTGATAGCTATAAACCAAATTGTAATGTTTATTAGTTACCAGAGCAAAAACATTCATTTGAATGTCTTATGGTACTGGTAGTATTAGCCTTTTCCTTATAAGGAAACTTTTGGTATTTAGTGACCGAATATCCAGTGCTATTCGAGTTACAATATACTTCGCTGGTCATCTGGTTAGGATCAAATCTTTTCTCCTTGTCTCTGAAAGTTAATTATGGTATCCGATCTCGCCATGGCAATCCGTGGATGTGGAAGGTTTCAAAAGCTTGTATGTCAGCTCTATGTTTAGCCATCCTTCTGTATGGCTCTCTAGCCTGAACAGGCTAGAGAGCCATACAGAAGGATGGCTAAACATAGAGCATATGTTAATCTCCAGCGTAGCAGCAGAAGAAGCATTGAGGCTCTTATCATCCAACCACAGCTCGTGGATTGGTCGAGTTATCAGGAAGGACGAAGACCGGCTCCCAAAAAGGATCCTATATGGGGAACTCTGTGAAGACTATTTTGGAGGACAAAGAAAAAAAACTTTTCAAAGACTACCTGAATTAATGCTAAAACAGTTCGTTATTAACTCTGTCGACAATTGGTGGACACTATTCCATCAGGCTCGTTGAAAGATTTGAAACTATTTTTTAAGAATTTCACCCCAAGCAAGGCAGAAGTGGCACTAGTACGCAAGGAGCTACAGAGAATGAAAATAAGGAAAAGACTGGGTATAGAGGCGATTGGGGAAAGGGTAAACAGAAGAACAGGGATCAAGGCATCAGAAGATATCGATTGACATTATATTAAATTATCACGGAAGAAACTAAGAGGAAGGGAGTTCCATTGTCGGGAAGTGCAAGAGAAGAAGCTGTTGGAGTAGAAGAGGCAGTTACATTTATCTGTTCCGACAGTAAAAGAGTGGGACCGAGATGCCAACCCAGTAGCACGCTTAAATTCATGAAGTTGGGGCACTGGTCATGGAAATATCTCGTCAGAGCACAGGTCATGGAAATATTTATAGAAAAGACAGAGGGAAGTCACATTACGTCTGTGAGAAAGTGACAGGAGTCTAGACACCCAAGTGAGGACCGATCACGTTGGATATCCGTCTTTGTCGATAACTTTGAGATGAACAGCAGGGCCACCAGACCATATATGTCAACAATATTCTATGCATGGCCGAATGGTAGATTTGTAGATGTGATGGATGGACCCAGACGAGAGAAACCTTCTGGCACGACACAGAGAACCGACTATCCTTGCAGTAGATGCAGCTATTGATTCAATGTAAGTACCAGTTTTTATATTCAGTTTTCTTACGCAAAAATAGGGGGCGCACTATACACAGGTCATTTTTTTGAAGAGGTTAAAAATCAGATCCGAACGAAAAGAAAAGTAATGTATCTTCTCGTCATTTCGCAAAAGAATGAAAACTCCTTATTTGTTATAGATTATATCCAGCATGATACCAAGGCCTACTAGTATTGATCAGAAGCTGGGGTTCACATTATACACGAGCCATATGAAAAAATCAACTCAGCCGACCATTATTAATTCCCTACAAACTAGTAATTTGCAAGATCAATTACGTCTGAGTAGTTAGATCCTTAGTGTGTGCTCCACACTTTCGGCCTTATGACACATCTAAACTAACATTTAGAAAATCATTTGGTAGATTTGTAGATGTGAAAGATGGACTCAGACGAGAAAAACCTTCTGGCTCGACAAAGAAAACAAACTTTCCTTGCAGTAGATGCAGCTATTGATTCAATGTAGTTGTTTCACCTCAGGTCAGTGGAAAACGTGAGTCCAAGAAGACGCAATGAGGCACTCTCGTGTAGTTGAGCATCAACCATGTTGATAGGAGGCAGGGAGGTTTCTGTATGCTGAGTAAATTACAGCCTTTCGTTTAGGATGTATTAAAATTCAAAAGCCATTTCCTGTCCCTCTCAACCACAGATTGGAGGTCGTTTTCGAAACCAACAGCCAGGTTAACTTTGTTTGCAGTCCGAACATTGTAAACTTGTTTGCAGTCTGAACATAGTGTAAATAATTCCGTTATTATTTACTTTTTTCTTCTTATTTTTCCAGGGCACATGTTAGTACTTCATATGTCTATTCCACGAAGTCGTTCCTTACAGATTGACCACAGATTCTCGATTGGATTTAAATCAGGAGAGTTTCCGAGCCAGTCGATAATACTTTGATTTGCTCACTGTTTGTTTGTGTAGCGTTACTATTTTCCTACGCTTCCTTGGAGTGACGTCCATTGCGGACAATGGTCGCAGAGCAACAGTATTCAATGCATGGACGAATGGCAGATTTGTAGATGTGAAGGATTGACTCAGGCGAGAAAAACCTTCTGGCACGACACAGAGAACCAACTTTCCTTGCACTAGATGCAGCTATTGATTCAGTATTAGTTGTTCAACCTCAGGTCAGTGGAAACGTGAGACCAAGAGGTCACAGTGAAGAGAGGAGTTGAGCATCAACCATGCTGATAGGAAGCAGGGAAGTTTCTCTGTGCTGTGTAAATGACAGCAGTTGCGTTTTGGTTGCATTAAAATTCACATGCCATTTCGTGCCCCAGTCAACCACACATCGGATGGGTTTCCGAGACTAACGGCTAGGTTAACTTTCTCAGCAATGCCGGATTTAGTAAACTAGTCGAACTCAAGACCAGAAATTTCACGGGCAACAATATCCTAATTGCCTAGTTTTTGAGGGACATTGCCACCAGGTGTCGGCTTTTAGTGTCCAACCGGCGGACGGCAACGCGCGTCTCATTTTGGTCTTCGCGGCCATCAACGTCAGGATAATGTCATCAACCACTGATTTCTTCACTTTGCATGCTTGGTACAGGGAGATCCGTTCATACGGCGCGACGTAACCTGATTTTTGACGTAGGTCTGAATTTACCTACTTAAGCACCCACTAGTCACTTACGCTTAGAAGACATAATAAAGAGCAAAAAGTTCCCCCAAAACGGCACGATAGCCAATGTAGCACAATCCAATATGGCATACAGCCGGTGGAGAAACAACGCCGTCTTCCTCATATAGCGCCGCGTGACAATGTATTATATTATGGGATTTGGCGCCGTAACTACGAAACGCCGTACGTCGAGTCCGACATAACCCGAGGACCTTCTGCAATTGTAATATTAGCCGTTTCCTTATAAGGAAACATTCAACATTCATTGACCAAGCAGCTAATACTACTCGAGTTAAACTTTTCTTCACTGTCTGGCCATAGGGCTGAGATCAAAGTGTAGTATCTGTTCTCTTCATTTCTAATGGTAATATTAGCCTTTTCCCTATAAGGAAACATTCAGCATTCATTGACCATGCTGCCGGTGCTACTAAGTAAAGCTTTTCCTCACTTCTTGACCATTATGCTGGGATCAAAGTGTAGTATCTGTTCTCTTCATCTTTAATGATAATTGTAATACTAGCCGTTTCCTTATAAGGAAACATTCATCATTCATTGACCAGCAACCTTGCTGACCATTGGGATGAGATCAAAGTGTAGTATCTGTTCTCCTCATCTCTAATGATAATGGTAATATTAGCCTTTTCCTTATAAGGAAACATTCAGCATTCATTGACCGAGCAGCCAGTGCTACTCAAGTAAGGCTTTTCTTCACTTCCTGACCATTGGACTGGGATCAAAGTGTAGTATCTGTTCTCCTCATCTCTAATGATAATGGTAATATTAGCCTTTTCCTTATAAGGAATACTTCAGCATTCATTGACCAAGCAGCCAACCCAACTCGACTTACGCTATACTTCATCCCTGGCCATCAGCCTAGGATCAAAGTGTGGCATCTGTTTTCTTCATCCCTAAAATAGGGATAATATTAGCTATTTCCTATAAGGAAATATTTGCCAATCTTTAACCTATCAGCCAGTGCTCGTCGAGTTACGCTTTTCTTCACTCCTTGGACATCATGATGAGATCAAAGTGTAGTATCTGTCATCTTTTTCTCTGATAGTATTTGTTATGTTAGACATTTCCTTATAAGGAAACATCAGTATTCAGTGAGCGAGCAGCCAGTGCTGCTGTTGACTGATGTTTACAAAATCTTTCTCTTCAAACAATTTTTCAGGAAAATAGGTTTCTCAAGGCCAGTAGCTGTTATTGCTCTTTCCAAAATGGGGGTTTGCTCAAATATGTGACTTTAACAGATATATACAGATTTATATACTGAAAAACATTCTATCTATATTTCTGAGATGTGGTATTATAATTATTTACATTATTTACATTTAGTTTGGACTGTGGTCCTCATCTTTGTTGCCATATTCACAACGTTTCGACCGTTCACTACTTACATTGTTTCGACCGTTGTACGCTCCGGCCTTCCTCAGGATCTCTCTATATTTCTGAGATGAACTATTGTATTTATTTACATTATTTACATTGTTGCTCTCATTTTTAGCTTATTCGGCAATTGTTAACTGATCAGCCAGTGCTTGTCGAAATACGCTTTTCTTCACTCCCTGGCTATAATGCTGAGATCAAAGTGTAGTATTTGTTATCCTTGTC